CCCACCACCAGGCTGCACTCCGACCAGTTCTACAGCTCCATGGAGCTCAGCCTGGCAGTGGGTGACAGAGCGTAGCCCTGGTTCTCCCCGCCTCCCACCACTAGGGGACACTCCGAGCTGCTCCCCAGCCCCATAGAGCACAGCTCAGCGGTGGGAGGTGGGGAGAGCCAGGGCTCTGCTCTTCCTCCCGCTGCCAGGCTGAGTTCCATGGGGCTGCGGAGCCACTTGGAGCTCAGCTCTGGCTCTCCCCTGCCTCCTGCCACCAGGCTGCTTCGAAACTCGAAACATTCCAAAACTTTCAAAATGTTTTGAGTGACCTCATTTTGTTTCAAAGCTGTTTCAAAGCTTTTTGTTTCATTTTGATTTTGCTGTTTCAAGTTCAAAACATGTTGAAACAGCTTTGAAATGAAACACTCGGCAAAATTTCGCACAGCCCTATTAGTTACCTGAGGCAGCTAACATGATTTTAAAACCTCCTTTTTTTCCTACACAAGACCTGTATCGTTGAATTGTGCTGAAATCAATGATGCTACCACTTGGTGGTGCCACAGAGCTGCTTTTAGAGTGTTTAAGCAGCTCTTAAATTTAATAGATTGTATTTTGGAATTCAGTCTTCACTAGGATTCTTGCAGCAGTGCCTTCAATATGCTAGTTTATAATGCATAATAACAACTAGCTTGTAAATATCTTATGTTTTTAAAAACATTCCTAGTTGTTGCCAGAATGATATCCTCTGATGCAAGCAAAACATTTTGCTCTGATAATGTATTTTAATTTAAAATGTTATTGATTTTGTTGGTTAATATTTGCTTATAAATTCCACCATTATTGACTACTATAAAAAGCCCAGTTCTGCCACTGCTATAGAAAAAAACGGATTTAAACAACAGAACTACACACAGAGTAATGTGATATTCAGCATGTAAGGATGGCTGAATTAGATCCACAACTAACATTATGGTAAACAGTAAATTACACAACAAGTTTTCAGTAAGTTTGTCTCAAGCATCAAAGGTTTATAGAACATTAAGAATTGTTACTGTTTCAGCAATACCAATATTACTCTTTAAAGCTCACTGAAATTAAAAAACCTTATTATTCTTCCTGAGATATCTATCTCTGCAAGCTGCATTGTTTCAGTGGAAATCAATTACAGATAATGAAACAGAATTTGGCTGCTAGTCAAGAGTTAGTAGCATGAAAAATTAAGGTTTGGAAGTATGTTGCCAAAAATTACTGCTAGAATTTTTACAGCAAATAAATACTTGCAAATGAAAGAGCTATTGTGTTTACAATATAAAAGCAAATACACTGGTATCTGATAGCGGCTGAGATTATAATTTTGTTGTTAAAACAAATGAAAAGTTGATTTGTATTACAATATACCTTAAATTCATGACAAAAATATCCAATGCATTTTTAACAAAAACACTGTACATGAAAATAGATATTTTGTTAATAAATTAAGGAAGAGGACTGCAGAATATGGTGATTGCAGTAGGAAAATTGTTGACGAATAAGGATTCAAACTGAAATAATAATATACTAAATTAATATCTGGCACAATGCCATTGACTTTAGAAGAATTTCACTCAAAATATGTCCCTTAAAAGCACTGGAAAGTAGGTGGCTTTGGATGGACAGTGAAATCAGTACGTAGGAATCCAAAGATTAAAATTCTGAAAGGACTCATAACACTTTGGTAACCAGATATTTTAAGAGGCCAGCCCCACCAAATCTGGGACCAAGTTAGAGTCAACTTTTGCTAAAGCACACAAATAAGGGAAATACTTCCCAAAGTGTTCAGTAACATGAAACTCCCACTGTGATACTTAACAGCTACATTTTCAAAAAACCTCATCATCTTCAACAAAAAACCCAGCATACTGAGCTCATTTAAAAATTTGGTCCTGACTGTGAATGTTAAGCCTGCAGCTAAATTTAGCCTTTACTTCAGTGAGTCTCAAAATGTTTAGAATTAAGGCACCCCACCCACATTAGATTCAAAACACCCTTGAAAAATGCAGGTCTTAGCTTTCCCTCTGGTTTTTTACTACAGAATAATAAAATGACAATTTTTGCAAAGAACTTAGGCCACAAAATGTCAGAATGGTTTTGACACTATGGATTCCTATTTGAAATCTCTGGGTTTATTTTGTGAATCATGTGTAGGTGTCTGCACACCTTATTTGCAACTCAGTGCTAAGTCTGAACGGTACCCTGCACCAGCCTTAAAATAATCTTGCAGCACCCTAGGGTACCTTGGCATCCTGGTTAAAAATCAATGTTTTACTAACTGGCTTCCCCAGTCACTAATTTCTTTTAGAAGACACTTACTGAAAGTACATAGTGTTGCTACACTAACACCATGAAATAACAAATACAACACAGGCCATGTGCAGCAGAGAGAGTCCTCAGGCAATGCTGGTGGCAGCAGCATGTGGCCCCCTGGAATCCTGCCCCCAAAACTATGCAGAAAGCACCGGCAGTGCACAACTCCTTCCTGGGTCCTCTCCAGCCATGGCTGCAGGTGCCTGAGGGCACATACCCTTCCCCCCCACCGATTTCTGCATGATGGTGGGTGCAGGGTTGCAGCCCAGCCAGAGCCCAGGCCCAACTAGTAGGTATTCTCACAGCATGCCTAATAGATCAGGCTTGGCACAAAGTCAGCCAGAGCTGATGATGATGACAGCTGTGCCACTGTTTTTATCCAATGGCTCAATGATTAGACTTCCCTTACCAAAAAAATTAGAGTTCCTGTGTTCAGTTTCTTCCTCTGTTGGAAGAGATACTAGCCTACGTCTCCAATCTTTCAGGAATGCACCATATTCTTACTCCCTCCTTCCCTTTACATGGAATAATCAAAGTTGTATCAGGGAAGGATGACTGATTCTCTAGCTTACTAAACAGCTAACAAACAAAATAGCTGGAGCTGGGACTGAAACTGGGGTTACCCCTCTCCCAGACGAGAGCCCTAATCACTGCTTTCTCTCTCCAGCTCAATGATACAGAATGGAACAGGTTCAATAGAAGCAAGAGGGAGGTACCACCAACCCACAGAAGGCTAGATGGCCTAATGAGGAGCTGTGCTGCACACAAGGCCAAGGCAGTGTCCAGGGTCAAGCCTCCATTCCTAGGAGGTGGAAGAATCCCTTCCATGTCTTGCAGTTGATTAGAATCTCCTCAGGCCAAAGATGGGTTTGAACAGGCTGAATCCACATGTTGGGTAAGTGAATTGATGGTTCACTATTGGACAAGGGCAGAAGCAGAAGCACTGCTACTGGTGATGTTTCAGAAGAAAGGACACGCACCTGCTCTTCTGGGGGTGGAAAGGCATTATGGACCCATACTCGGAAGACAAGCCAGTACTGTAAATCTGAAGAGGGAATTGTATCCCTGCAACCCAGAGTAAGACAGGATGCCAGAAGCATTCATTCTAGTAGCTTTCAATTGGGACTAGCTGGGGGGAGGGGGGGCTTCCTACTTACCAGGATATTGTGAATCCCCTATTCCAAAATGGCCTGGTTCTTCCTATATGTTATGTAGCAAGCTGGGCATTTGCAGCATCCACCTCTTCTGTGGATCAGTCCCACAATTACTTTACACAGGGGCAAACTATGACAGAAGAGGCAGGAAAACATTAAGCCTTAAGTACAGAGCTTGCTTAGCCTGAGCTACAAGCTCATGCGTGAAGCAGGACTTGGCTGACTCATCTGCGAGCAGCAGACAGGGGCAGAGAACGCAAATCTGAGGCGGCCACAGAGCACTGCCACCCCAGCGCAGCGCCGCCTCCACGCACAGGGACAAGAGCCGTGCTGCCCCCTCCCCTAGTATTGCCAGGTCTTAAATATGAAATAATCATATTGGATGCTCAAAATTATCCTATTTGCTGAAAACCTATGGTACTTACACTGAAAAAATATGCAAGTGGGTATGCAAATAAGTCTTATTTACTATATATTGTTGGCTGTGACTGAGAACTGGGTCAAAGTTGAAGCACTTATCTGGAGGCAAGCAGTCGTCATCCTCAGGAAGTGCTGCCAGCAAACCCAACCCTGGGTTAAGACTCCCTGAGAGGGACTTGGCTTTTACACATGCCTGCATCAATGAGCTGCCTCAAAAATGATCCTACATTTTGTCAGGTATCCAGGTTGTAGCCCTATTGGTCCAGAGGAAAAAGCAATCCGGACTCATAGTAGAGATGATCTCTTTTATTAGACCAAAACGATTTTTGCAAAAAACAAAAATATTTTTTTCCAAAAGGAAAGGCAGACATTACAAATATTCTCATTATCGTGCACCTGGCACTACCCTCGCCTGTCTCCCCTCCCCCCACCCCGCGCAGGCGCAGAGGGAAGGAGGGGACGGCAACGTCACACGCGACCCTGGCCCAACACAACGGCCAGCCCCCCGAGCCGGGCTTCGCAGTGCCACGTTGAGGTTACTTGCCCCGCCCCTGGGCGGCTCGCAGGGGTGGGGCTCGCCGCACTGTCACGTGACAAGGGTGGGGGAGGAGAGTGGCTGCTCACGCACCCGCCACCCCCCTCCCGCCGCGACGCCCCCACGTCACCTCCCTCCTCGCGTGCGCAGCGACGCCAACGTGCGGGAGCGGTGACGTTGCGCTCGGCCCGGAGGAGGGGGTGCGCGGCGGAGCGGGTAGCGGCCCAGCGAGTCCTCCCCTCGGCGGCGGCGGGGCCCGTCCCGGCTCGGCCCAGCCCAGCA